TGTAAGATAGTCACTTCATGCCTTTATTGCCCCCTCATTTTAGGTAGCCAGTGGAATAAAAGGTGTTATTTAGTGTCTTACAGCACTAAATAGCAGTAAGAAGATCTCTCCTTTATCAGCTCTGATAAGTTGCATTTTATCCAAAACTCTTAAAAACCAGCTGACTGCCCTTGAGCTGATTCTGAATCAGAGTGATTCTGTATAGAGTTTCTGAGGTTGTAAATATTTACAGTAGCAGAAAGCCTCATCTTTCTCCAATGGCACAGTGGGTGGGTTTGAACTGCCAGCCTTGGATTAGCAGTGCAGTACTTATCCTAGATCTCCATGTATTATATTCAGTATGCTATTAGTTGTTTGTTTGTTTTTTTTAAGCTCACTTAGAAACAAACCTGATGATAGTATGCATTGAAAACTTGTTGTTAATACCATTGAGTCTGTTTTACTCATTCTAAGCATGTATAGCGTTTCCAAGGTTTTATATGTTTGAGGAAGCAGAGAGCCTTATCTTTTGCCCATGGAAACTCATTAAGAAGGGTGAAAGTTAAAGGAAATATCCTAGCAAGTGTAATAGAAACATTTCTTTAAATTATGAAATAAGAGAAACAGGCTAACTAGAGAACGAGTCTAGGAGGTTCAACCTTGAAAAGTAAGGATTCCAGAAAAAGCATATGATATGGAGAGGAGGAGGAAGTAATTAATAAGCCAATATAAGAAAATACCAAAGAATTTAAGAATACGAGTTTCTCAATTGAAAGGGCCACCCACTGCTCAAACAGAGAGGATGAGAATAATGTTGTTAGGTGCTGTAGAGTTGGTTCTGACTCATATGGAACTTATGCACAACAGAATGAAACTTACCTGGGCCTGCACCATCCTCACAGTTGTTATGTTTGAACCCATTGCTCCTGCCACTGTGTCAATCCATCCTGCTGGGGTCTTCCTCTTTTTCACTAATCCTCCACTTTTCTGAGGTTGGTGTCCTTATTCAAGAATTGATTCGTCCCGACAAGATCTCCCAAACCCGAGAGATGAAGTCTCGTCATCCACACTTCTGGCTTTACTTCTTCCAAGATAGATTTGTGTGCTCTTCTGGAAGTCCATGGTACTTTCAGTATTCTCCACCAATACCATAACTCAAATGCATCAATTCGTCTATGCTATTCAATGTCCAACTTTCACTTGCATGTGAGGCAATTGAAAATACCATGGCTTGAGTCAGGTGCCTCTTAGTCTTCAACCTAGTATCTTTGCTTGTTAACACTTTAAAAAGGTCTTTTGCAGAAAATTTGCCTACTTCAATATGTTGTTTGATTTCTTGACTGATGCTTCCATGAGTGTTGATAGTTGATCCAAGCAAAATGAAGTCTTTGATAACTTCAATCTTTTCTCTGTTTTTCATTATTTTATTTATTGCTCCAATGGTGAGAATTTTTGCTTTCTCTACCTTGAGGTGCAGCCCATACTAAAGGCATTGTTCTTTGATCTTCATCAGTAAGTATTTTAAGCCCTCTTTGCTTCCAGCAAGCAAGGTTGTATCATTTGCATATACAGATTGTTAATGAGTCTTCCTCCAATCCTGATGCCACATTCTTCTTCATATAATTCAGTTTCTTGGATTATTTGCTCAGTATACTGACTGAATAAGTATGGTGAAAGGATACAACCATGACACACACCGTTCCTGGTTTAAAACCCCTTCTTATGTTCTAACCACAGTCTCTGCCTAAGTACAGGTTCTACATGAACACAATTGAGTATTCTGGAATACCTATTATTCTAGATGTTATCCATCATTTGTCATGATACACATAGTTAAAAACATTTGCATAGACAGCAAGGCACAATTAAACATCTTTCTGGTATTCTCTGCATTTAACCAAGATCCGTCTGATGTCACCAATAGTATCCCTAATTCCACATCCTCTTCTGAATCCAGCTTGAATTTCTGGCAGTTCCCTGTCAATGTATTGTTGCAATAATTTTTAAATTATCTTCAGCAAAATTTTACTTACATATTAATAATATTATTAGATAATTTTCACATTCCATTGGGTCACCTTTCTTTGGAATGCTCACAGATATGGATCTCTTCCACTTGATTAGCCAGGTAACTGTCTTCTAAATTCTTGGCATAGATGAGTGAATACTTCCAGTGCTGCTTCAGTTTATTGAGCGATTTCTATTTGTATTCCATCAGTTCCTGGAGACTTGTTTTTCTCCAGTGTCTTCAGGGTAGCTTTGATTTCTTCATCAGTTCTTGATCATTTGCTGCTCTTGAAATGTTTGAACATTGACCATTTCTTTTTGGTTCAGTGCCTTTGTGTATTCCTTACGTCATCTTTTAATGCCTTCTGTATTATTCAATATTTTGCTCATGTTGTTGTTGTTATGTGCCTTGGAGTCGGTTCCGACTCATAGCGATCCTGTACAGGGTTTCCAAGGCTGTAAATCTTTACGGGAGCAGAAAGCCTCATCTTTCTCCCATGGAACAGCTGGTAGTTTTGAACTGCTGACCTTGAGGTTAGCAGCCCAATTCATAACCACTATGCTACCAGAGCTCCTTTTGCTCACAGAATCCTTCAATATAGCAAGTCAAGGCTTACATTTTTCTTCAGTTCTTTCGGCTTCAGAAATGCTGAGTATGTTTTTCCTTTATGGTTTTCTAACTCCTGGTCTTTGCACATTTCTTTATAATATTTTACTTTGTTTTATCAAGCTGCCCTTTGACATTTTCTGTTCTGCTCTTTTACTTCCTTATGTCTTCTAGTCACTTTAGCTTCTCTGTGCTCAAGAGCAATTTCCAGAGTCTCTTCTGACATCCATTTTCATCCTTGATTTCTTTCCTGTGTTTTTAATGACCTTTTGCTTTCTTCCTGTGTGGTATTCTTGATGTCATCCCACAACTCTTCTGGTCTTCATTCATTAGTGTCTAGTGTACCATGTCTATTCTGTAGATAATCTCTAAATTCAGATGGAATATTCAAGGTCATATTTTGATTCTTCCAGAGTTGCTTTTATTTTCTTCTGCTTCAGCCTGAACTTGCATATGAGCAATTGATGGCCTGTTCCATAATCTACTCCTGGCCTTGATTTGGCTGATGATATTGAGCTTTTCTACCATCTCTTCCCACAGATGTAGTTAATCTGATTTCTTTGTATTCCCTCCAATCCTGATGCCACATTCTTCTTGCGTGGTCCATGTATACAGTCACTTTTTATGCTGTTTAGAAAAGGTATTTTCTATGAAGCAGTCATTGTTCCTGCAAAATTCTATCATGGGGTCTCCAGCATCATTTCTGTAACCAAGGCCATATTTTCCAACTACTGATCCTTTCTCTTTGTTTCCAACTTTTACATTCCAGTCACAAGTAATTATCAATGTATCTTGATTTCATGTTTGATCAATTTCAAACTTTAGAAGTCGGTAGAATTCTTTATCTTCATCATTACTGGCTCTAGTGTAAATTTGAATAATAGTGGTATTAACTGGTCTTCCGTGTAGGAAGCATGTAGACAGTGTTGTACTTCAAGATAGATTTTGAAATGATGATAAATGCAACACAATTTGTCTTCTTCAATTTGACTTTCCTGGCATAGTAAACTATATGATTATCTGATTCAAAATGACCAATACCTGTCTGTTTCAACTTACTAATGCCTAGAATATGGGTCTTTATGTGTTCCATTTATCTGCATAAAAGTTGGTCCAAATAGTGGCAGATGAATTCACACATTGAGACCAAAGAAAAGAACCTATAAGCTTCCAAGTACAAAACAGTAAGTCATACATAAAGCATCAGGAATCAGTACTGCTTCTAACATTTTATAGCTGCACTGGAAATTAGAAGGAAATACAGGAGTTCCTTGAAGTTCTGAAGAAAAAGTATTGGTAGCTTAGAGTACCATACCAGTGTTGATGTTTTGAAGTGCCATTGAGTCAGTTCCGACCCATAGCGACACTGTATAGGGTTTCCAATGAGCAGCTGGTGATCTTGACCCTCTGACCTTGTGGTTCAAACCAACTTTGCAATCTAGTGCATTAACCCACAGTGCCACAAGAGGACTATAAATCAAGTGTGAAGGTAGAATAGACATTTTTACATATGCTAGTTTTCAAAAAATGTATTTCCCTTGCTCCCTTTTTTTGGGAAGCTGACTGACTATATTCTCCACCAAAAACAAGGCTATTTTATTTTATTTTATTTTTTCCTTAAAAGAACAGTATGAGATAAAGGCACAGTAAAGAGGCACAGACATCTCCAGAATGGGTAGAGGGAAGTCTCAGGCTGCCAGGCAGCGTAGGGGCACTAGTCCTGTTTGGAGCATGTCACAGGCCTCTGTGACATACTCTTGAACATGAAATTGATGCATCTGTGTATTTGAGTGAGTTAAGAGAAGGCTTAGACAGAGTTTGGAGTTTTATAGGAAAATGTAGACTTTAAGTTGGGGGAAAAAAGAACTATGGCTATTTGGGTCAGTTGTGAATGTCATTTACCTGATGTAAACATGAATATTATAGGAAGCAAAATGATAGTATCAGTATACTGGATGAACTGGAGACTGGATGTGTGGGGTAAGGTCAGGATTATGAAAGATTATTTAATCCTTATCTTCCACACTGAGGAATTTATGAGCTAATGCCTACAAATGAAAAAAATCAAACTATAACAACATAAGCTTTCTTCACTGTAACAGTCAAATGTGTACATCTTTGAGGAGGAGTGTCATGGACTTCCAATAGTAATAAAGGAACTATTGATTTAAAATTATGCTTATATATAAGTTTGATAAAAATAAAAACAATTTTAAAAAGCCTTTAAATTTACTATGTTTAATCCAGTATTCTATCAGTCCTAAAATGCACATTCTTGGTTTATTTTTAAATATTTTTCATGTCACTGAAATTATAATGTCTTAGATTTAATGAAATATTGTAGTCCAAGATTCTGATATTGTCATATTTTAGAATAGCTAGAGTATAATGTCTTTTTTTTTTTAAGATTTCAGGACTGAGTCTACCTCTCCCTCCCAAAAAACTGATTGGCAACATGGAGCGAGAATTTATCGCTGAGAGACAGAAAGGTCTTCAGAACTATCTCAATGTTCTCACCACCAATCATATCTTGTCTAGCTGTGAGCTGGTTAAGAAGTTTTTAGATCCCAACAACTATGCTGCGAACTACACTGGTAAGCTACAGCCATACAGGCAAATCTTCCCATAAGGGAGGTGCCCATCATGCTAATAGGGCATTATTCATTTACTAATGCTTACTTGAGTTCTTAGGAACTGGTGGAGTAGTGGGTTTTGCACTGGACCGATATCTGCAAGGTCGATAGTTCAAGCCCACCAGAACGGCTTTTTACTTCCATAAAGATTTACAGCCTCAGAACTATACAGTGTTGTTATGAGTTGGAACCAACTCTACAGTACACAACCACCACCACCACCACTATTACCACTTGAGTTTGTGTGTGTCACATTGGTTTTGTTTTTCTTTTTAATATTTACTTGATTGTGGGTTACTGTAGATTAATAAGGAGAAAGTAATTTGTTCCCAAAATGTTCATAACATCTGCATAAAAAAAAATGAAAGAGAAATGACCATTTCTTTTTGGTACTGGATATATTCCTTCCATCTTCTTTTGATTCTTTCTGCATCACTCAATATTTTGCCCATGTTGTTGTTGTTAGGTGCCATTGAGTAGGTACCAACTCATAGCAACCTTATGCACAGCAGAATGAAACACTGCCCAATCCTGGGCCAACCTCAGTACTTTTGCCATGCTTGAGTCCATCAATGCTGCCACTTGGCCATTCCATCTCGTTGGGGGTCTTCCTCTTTTACTCTGACCCTCCATCTTACCAAACATGCTATCCTTCTCCAGCGACTGGTCCCGCCTGACAATATGTCCGAAGTATGAGAGATGAAGTTTGGCCATCTTGGCCTCCAAGGAGCACTCTGGCTGCACTTCTTCCAAAACAGATCTATTGGTTCTTTTGGCAGCCCATGGCACTTTCAATATTCTCCTCCAACACCATAACTCAAAAGCATCAATTCTTCCACAGTCTTCCTTGTTCACTGGCCAGCTTTAACATGCATATGAGGTCATTGAAAATACCATGGCTTGGATCAAGCGCACCTTAGTCCTCAAGCTGACACCTGTGCTCTTCAATGCTTTAAAAAGGTCTTGTGCAGCAGATTTGCCTAATGCAACATATCGTTTGATTTCTTGACTGCTACTTCTGTGAGTGTTGGTAGCTGATCCAAGATTTTGCCCATAGAATCCTTCAATATTGCAAGTTGAGGCTTGAATTTTTTCTTCAGCTCTTTCAGCTTGAGAAATGCTAAGTGTGTTCTTCGTTTTCAGTTTTCTAATTCCAGGTCTTTGTACTTTTCATTATAATACTCAAAAAACTTGGAGGTAGTATAAAAGCACAAAACATGTCATTGGGCCAATTTACATACTTAGTTTTTATTATCTGTTCTAAGAGAACAGAGAGCAAATAATCTAAAACAATGTATACAATATTCTCACTTAGATTTGTATTTGGTTCTGTTTTTGTTTACAGTTTGAATATAGTGTGTTGGAATCACAACAGTGATTCAGAAGACCCCTTTCTGTGTCTGAATTTTCAGTTGCTCCCTGAGGCTCATTCACTGAAAAACACCCACCTAAGAAGGAGGTATTTTTCCCCCTGGATCAGGGTAGCAGCCAGGAGCCTGAGATGGAAAGCCAGTGTCAGAAACCAAAGCCGAATGTCAGCAGAATGAGTGACTAAATATTTAATAGTCTTTGTTGTGGAATTGAAGATACCAGTAGAGACCATTGTAGAGCTAAATCAATGAATAGAATTCAACTGATTTGTTAATACCAAGCCTAGCTTAGAATCTTTCTAAGTGAAAGTCTAAGCATTGTTTCCCTGCTAAGAGAGCAGTTATTTATATGCTACTTAGAACAAATTGTATCAGATAATTAAGTCTTTAAAACACTGCTTTTGGTGTAATTAGAGGAAGGCACTTTTATTCCTGTTTCTTAGAGGGGAAAATAAAGATCCACTTGTCATGCACCAAACTTTTCTGCTTAATAGAGTCCACTGGGGTGCTTTACAAAATCCTCAAGCCCAGGCTGCACTCATGTCAATTAAATCAGAACTTGGGGGTGGCAGGCTAGAGCTCAGACATCAGTAGTTTATAAAGCTCCCATATGATTCCAATGCATCTGAACACCGCAGCGCTTGGGTCTTGCTTTTGTATTGTGGTCCTGTGACCAGCAGCACTAGTCATATGGGGAACAACCAAACCCATTACCATTGCATTAACTCCTTCTCATAGTGACCCCCTGTGTATGAGGATAGAAACGTAGGGTTTTCAGTGGCTGTTTTGATGGGAGCTGAACACTAGGTCTTCTTAGGGTGCCTCTGGGTGTGTTAACCTTTGCACCACCCAAGGACTCTGGGAGCTTCTTGTTGTTGTTGTTAGGTGCCATCGAGTCAATACCGACTCATAGCGACCCTGTGCACAGCAGAACAAAACACTGCCCAATTCTGGGCCAGCCTCACTACTGTTGCCATGCTTGAGTCCATCGATGCTGCCACTTGGCCAATCCATCTCTTTGGGGGTCTTCCTCTTTTTCTCTGACCCTCCACCTTACCAAACATGTGATCCTTCTCCAGTGACTGGTCCCTTCTGACAATATATCTGAAGTATGAGAGACGAAGTTTGGCCATCCTGGCCTCCAAGGAGCACTCTGGCTGCACTTTTTCCAAAACGGATCTGCTGGTTCTTTTGGAAGCCTATAGCACTTCAGTATTCTCAAAAGCATCAATTCTTCTGTGGTCTTCCTTATTCACTGTCCAGCTATTGCATGCATATAAGGTGATTGAAAATACCATGGCTTGGGTCAGGTGCACCTTCGTCCTCAAGCTAACATATTTGCTCTTCAATGCTTTAAAAAGGTCTTGTGCAGCAGATTTACCTAACACAATACATCATTTGAGTTCTTGACTGCTGCTTCCATGAGTGTTGATAGTTGATCCAAGAAAAATGAAGTCCTTGACAACTTCAATCTTTTCTCCATTGATAAGAATGTTGTTTACTGGTCCAGTGGTGAGGATTTTTGTTTTCTTTACACTGAGATGTAATCTATACTGAAGGCTGTGCTCTTTGATCTTCATCAGTAAATGTTTTAAGTCCTCTTCACTTTCAGCATGCAAGGTTGTATCATCTGCATATCGCAGGTTGTTAATGAGTCTTCCTCCAATCCTGATGCCACATTTTTCTTCTTATAGCCCAGCTTCTCAGATTATTTGCTCAGCATACAGGTTGAATAAGTATGGTGAAAGAATACAACCTTGTTGCACACCTTTCTTAATTTTAAAACATTCAGTGTTCCTATGTTCTGTTTGAACAACTGGCTCTTGGTCCAAGTACAGATTCCTCATGAGCACAATTAAGTGTTCTGGAATACTCATACTTCACAATGTTGTCCATAGCTTGTCATGATGTACACAATCGAAAGCCTTTGCATAGTCAGTAAAGCACAGGTAAACATCTTTCTGATATTCTCTGTTTCCATCCAAGATCCATCAGACATCAGCAATGATATCCCTCGTTCCACTGCCTCTTCTGAATCCAGCTTGAACCTCTGGAGTTTCTTTGTCAATGTATGCTTACAGCCGTTTCTATGTTACCTTTAGTAACATTTTACTCGCATGGGATATCAAAGAGATCTCTAAATTCAGGTGGGATACATAAATTGAAGGTCATATTTTGGCTCTCGTGGACTTGTTTTCATTTTCTTCAGCTTCAGTTTGAATTTGCATATGAGTAATTGATGGTCTTTTCCAGTCTGTCCCTGGCCTTGTTTTCACTGATGATATGGGGCTTTTCCATCGTCTCTTTCCACAGATGTAGTCAATTTGATTTCTGTGTATTCCATCTGGTGAGGTCCATGTGTATAGTTGTCTCTTATGCTGTCTAAAGAAGGCATTTGAAATGAACAAATCATTGATTTTGCAGAATTCTACCATGTTTTCTCCAGCATCATTTCTATTTCCAAGGCCATATTTTCCAACTACTGATCCTTCCTCTTTCCTCCCAACTTTTGCATTCCAGTCACCAGTAATGATCAATACATCTTGATTGCATGTTTGATCTGTTTCAGATTGAAGAAGTTGGTAGAATTCTATTTCATCCTCACTGTCTAAGTGGTTGGTGCGTAAATTTGAATAATAGTGGTATTAACTGGTCTTCCCTGTAGCCGCATGGATGTTATCCTATCACAGACAGCGTTGTACCTCATGACTGATCTAGATATGTTCTTTTTTGACAATGATGCAACACCATTTCTCTTCAGTTTGTCATTTCTGGCATAGTAAATGATGTGGATGTCAGATTCAAAATGGCCAATACCAGTCCATTTCAGCTCACTAATGCCTAAGATATCGATATTTATACATTCCATTTCATTTTTGACAACTTCCAGTTTTCCCAGATTCGTACTTCGTACATTCCATGTTCCAATTTTCAATGGATGTTTACAGCTGTTTCTCTTCATTTTGAGTTGTGCCCCATCAGGAAATGAAGGTCCCACAGGCTCTTCTCCCATGGGCTTTAACTCCATTTGCGTCATCATGGTTATGAGGAGGCAGCTCTTCCCCAGTCGCATTTTTAGTACCTTCCAATCTGAGGGGCTCATTTTCCGGCACTTTATCTGACTGCTTCTCTACTATTCATAAGGTTTTCAGTGACTAAATATTCGGAAGTAGTCTCCTAGTCTCCTTCTTCCTAGTCTGTCTTCGTCTGGAAGCTCATCTGAAACCTGTCCGCCATGGTTGACCCTGCTGGTATTTAAAATACCTGTTGCATAGCTTCCAAAATCACAGCAACTCACAAGCCACCACAGTACGACAAACTGACAGACTAGTGGTGGTGAGAGCTTGTTAAATATGTAGAATTCAAGCCCAGCCCCAGACTTGCTGAATCAGGAAATGTATTCTAACAAGGTATGCGCTTTAAAGTTTGAGAAGCCTTACTCTAGATTGCACCTCCTGCCTTACATAAGTGCCATGCAGGGGCTAAGAAAAAATACTTTTCCAGAACATAACAAACAGAAGGAAGTTGATTTCAAAATCACATTTACTATAAATTACAAAACCTCACATTGAACTGGTATAAAGATTTCAG